CAGTGGGGCTGATCTATTGGGAGCTCACCAAGGCCAGCTGGACTGTGACTGAAAAAGCATGGGATAAAACCGGACTCTCTGATCATGGCGAACAATGAGGGCTGATGAGAAGCCAAGGACAATGGCACGGGGTTTTGATCCTACTTCATGTTCTGGCTTGGTGGGAGCCTAGCCAGTTTGGATGTTCACCTTCCTAGACATGGACGGAGGGGGGAGGACCTTGGACTTTCCACAGGGCAGGGAACCCTGACTGCTCTTCGGACTGGAGATGGAGGGGGAGAGGAGAGGGGGGAGGGGTAGAAGGGTGGGAGGAGGGGGAGGGAAATGGGAGGCTGGGAGGATGCGGAAACTTTTTTTTCCTTTTCTCAATAAAAAAAAAGAATTAGAAAGAGCTTTCTTTGATGTTGGCTTCTTCACTTTTGAAACCGCTTCTAGCCTGCATACAGCTCTCAGAAGTGGGTTGTGTGTCTTTGGAGTTTTGGTTATTTCCGTTTTATTAAATCTGATCCATTTGATCAAGTAACAAAAATTACTTTTCATCTGTGACTGTTTTATAATAGTTAAGTTTCCTTGGATTTTTACTTTTGAATCTTAAGCTACTTTTTTTTTTCACTTTCCAGAAACATTTCTGCCTGTAGATATTCTTATCCTCACACATAAACAGACTAGGATACTACAGGGTAATGATACCTTGAATACTGCAAGAACGAAGTTCTTGGACTGTGGGGAACTAGCAAGCAAGGTAACTTGATCAATCTTCTGAACCATATAAGGCTTTCTGTTCTCAGGATGTGGGAGAAACTTCTCTAACTAACCAACATTGCACCTTCTTACTGACATCAGTGGCGGTGTGACAAAGTATTCTAAGCCGTTGGCTCTCACTATGGTGCTGACACATTTCCTTCAATAAGGAGAATGTTAAAGATGCAGGTTCTCAGGTCTACCTCTTACCCCCTGAAATCAGGCTGAGGTCCACTGATCTCTAATCTAACACTCTCCCAGAGCTGTGTACACGCAGAGGTAGGAGAGATCGCATCTTCCATGCAGAGGTGTCTGCCCTCACCCTGCAGACCTTATCTGCAGAGCAATCATCTTTTCACCCCAAGGCTACATCCCAGCTCTGCAGCTACACATCTGTGTGTTCTTCTTTAAAGACTAAATTCTTTATGTATGAGGTCTTCTCCAGGTTCCAATCATAAGAGTAAAACTGTTGACTTGTACTCCAGTATGTGGGTGTAATTTATTCTATAGCTTAAGAAAAGCAAACACAAAACTGTAGGGGCAAGTATTTCTGGAGCAGGAGACCTACTTCTAGAGAAGACTGTAAGGATCTAGAGTCAGACAGAAATACATTAAATTAAGAATAGATAGCACAGCAGACAAGTAAGTGCCTGTTGAAGAACCAGACAAACTGAGTTTGTTCTCTGAGACGCACATGGTGGGAAAAGAGAAAGTTGTCCTTGGGTACGCACACCCCTTAAAAAAGTATTAAAATATTTTTCTAGAATGCAATGAATAGATTGTTCTATTAAAACATCAGCGTGCTTGGCTGGAGGTGACGGTGGAATTGATGAGCGTTCTTTGGGAGGAGGGAATGCTGGGTCTTCAGCAGACTTCAGACATAGTCAGAGATGCTATAGTCTCAGACTGTCGTCTTCGACTCATGTCCATAGGTAAAAATTCTTCAAGGAAGATTGACTGAATTAAGGCTCAGATATGTTTCACTTTTGAAGTGAATGTTGCTTCTTAAAAATAGTATTTTAGTTACTTGGTTTCACACTTAACAAGTAATATCTTCCAGTAAAATTGGTGTTTAAAGGAGAAGAAAAATGCCATTGACATATGTAGCAAGTTGTCTGTAAGTGTCTCCGGTTTTCTGTTAGCTGTTTGGTTGCCCTTACACAGTCACTTTCTGTACAAACTGTGAAATCCAATTTACCTGGAAAACTTCACATCGACAATTATATTATTATATTTCACATCGACAATTATATTTCATCCTCTTGAGTAATACTTGAGGCAAACATTTTATTTTGCTGCTTTTCTTAATGGAAGAGAAATATTTCCTTTGATTTTCTTCTGATTCCCTTTCTGCATAGTGTTAAACACTACCGACATTTTCGGTTTTTTAGGAAAAAGCCAGCACTGATTGAGTTTCCCCCCTTATGAACACCTGATTTGCTAATAATTTTGTTTCCAAGTTTTATAATGTTTCTGCTTCTCCTATCTAATTGCACCGGGCAGTAACTACAGAGCAACGCTGGTGATCAGACACCTCTTTTTTCATTTGTTTTCCCGGAATTGGTTGACAAACTTCAAGGATTTGATTAATATACGCTGTGCCAGCTTTCACTGGAGATTGGGCCCAGTTCTAGTTTCCCATTCTGGGAAGCCATCCACGTCGCTCTTTGTGCAATCTCCATCTAAATCCAAAAACTCCCATCTTCATTTGTTTAGGCAGGAAGCTAAAGTCTCCATCCATTGCTTCAAGGCAGATGGGAAGTGTTTTAATCCAAAGGAGACAGTAGTTCCCAAGGGTAACAAAAGCCAAACAACCCAGAAGTTCCTTCCTGAGCCAAGTACCCTGTCATTCAACAGAGGAAAACTCGGCGAAATGGGGAGGAGTCTGTCACCTCCCCACCCCCATCCCACTTAGGTGCCACCCTCACAGATGAAATGTGAGCCTGGGTGGTCAAGGACGCCAGAGAAGCTGCTTTTTGCTTGCCAGAGCCAGTACCTTTGGGCGGGACAAAGCCTCTGCTGCAGCTCTGCCAGGCAAGGACCACTGGCGCCCAGCTCCCCGCAGCCAGCCGGCTTCTTCAGGGCTCTGGTTAGGGTCATGGCCAGGCCTGCTCTGGACCCTGCTCCCGGCAGCACAGCCCTGTCCACCTAACAACCCTGAATCCTCCTCATCGCTGCAGGGTTTCCTGGCCGTCCCTTTACTCCACCTTCTGCCAGGTCTACCCGTCTGTCCTACAGAGCAGCTTGGTGCCACCGGCTTGGATGGACGTGTTGAGGCTGCCCCGGCGTCCTGGGGTCTTGCTTCCGAAGTTGGTTCTGCTCTTTGTCTACGCAGGTCAGTGGTAGTGGGAACAGGGAGAGAGGGTGCTGGGGCTTGGGACCATAGCAGTAAAGTAAGAGTGAGATCCCCTAGGAGGCAACTCCAGCCGCCCTCATGCTGGAACCCCCTTCTCCCCTTTAACATTACTGTTTTGCTTGCTTTTCTGTTTGCTAAACAACTCAGAAACTCTCCTCTAAGGGGATTTAACCTGACTAGTATAAAAACACATCTTAAGTGAACCCTGGTAGAGGGCCTGCAGAGACTTTTTAAAATACTTGAAATTCAAAGGCAAAGTTATTAAAAGCAAACGCATTAGTGACTTTTGCATTTCATGTCAGGCTGCTCCTGTTCTGAATAATCCAGTTTTTCCTCTCAGATACTTTAGACACTTCCCGGTATTCTTTAGAAGATCCACAAGGACTTGAGTCTAGATTTGTGTCTGAGCAATCAGATGCTCTGAGCTATTTTGCCAGAGTTTCTTTCGTGTTTGGTGTGATTAGGCACCTGTTTGTGAAAAGCCCCTCATCTCCCTCCTTATAATTATTCTTAGTGGCAGTTGCTAATAATTAATGAAGCAGAGTGGTATTCTTGTTCTGATTGATGGGGAGCCTTATGTGGCCTTTCGCTGCTTACTCAAGTATAAAGCTAATTACAAGTACACTCCTTGCAACCACCTATTCAGAGTATAAACTTAAACATCTTGTGTTTCTAACTTTCTATGTCAATGAATCACAGGCTGACGATGAATCCGCAGAGCTGTTTATGTCTCCATACCTACCAAGACATTGCAACCAGAGCAATGTTCTTCAACCTTGTGAGTTGCAGCCAAAGAATTGAATTGCACCATTGCAGCAAAATAATCAAATTCTTCACCCCTACCCCACCCCACACTCACCCCAGTTCTGCCAGAAAGCAGTCCTTACTTGTAGAAAAAAATTAATCTATTAAGATGCAAACTAGGGCCTGGGGTTGAGTATAGGGCTTTGCAGGGCATTAACCAATTGTGGTGGCCCCTGTCAGATAACCCAGCTCTGGGGAGGTGGAGGCGTGGAGGCAGGAGAATCAGAAGTTCCAGGTCCTTATCAGCTACATGATTGGTTTGAGACCTCTCTCCCCGACCCTGGGGATATATGAGACTCTATTTCAAAAATAGGCAGATTTTGAACAGCAAATTACTGTCTAAAAGTTATCATATTAAAGATTCTATAGGGGGAAATGCTGACCTTCTAATATAAGGAAATACTACAAGTAGGAAGAGTGCCTCTTGATGAATATAGTTCCAATTCTAGTAATGGCAGTGTTCCTGCTGTTTAGATTGTATATAGCTTCCCCATTGGGAGGCACCAAGAATCAACTGCATTCCTGAATTTTACATCAGCATCTCTCCCCTAGCTTCTTGAAAGCAAGGATTAGAGTCTTCCCACCTCTTCAGCTTATCCAAGTAACACAAACACAAGAAAATAACAAGAAACAAATGGAGCTTTAATGACCTTGTTGCCTTGACTCAGTTACTTCATGGAGCTTCTGTGTTCTGAGTTGCTCCCCTGTGGCAGACTGAAAGGCTGGCTTCTTCTTTCCACAGCTGCTCTAGCCCTTCTTCAGTTCTGGGGACTACCCACGGCTCCTCCAGGGATCGGGGAACCAATGTCACTGGACCGCAGTTAGCTGGGTGGTTTCTGTCGGGAGTTTCCACGTTAAAATGCTCTCTCCTAAGTTCCTACCTAATAAGCTACAGAGTAGTTGCAAGCCAACACTAACCTATCCTGTTATCTCGTGTAAGGAATGCTGAATTGATGAGTTCTTTGGTGGAACCTGAACCTCAGAAGCCAGAGGCTGTCTTAAAGCCATATTCATTTGATACTAGCGCAAAGGCCATGCTCTGAGTTTTCGGAGAGGGTTAGGTGAGCTCCTAGGTCAGTTTAACGTGGGAAAGCGTGTATCACAGAACAGGTACAGTCTTGTACTAGCACTATCAAAGAAGGAGGCCATATTGCTATTTCAAAGGAATAAGCCCCTTCTTCTAATGCTTATTTTATTCAGCAAAATAGCCTCACTCACAGGCAAGGCTAAGGGCTCAGTCAATGTGCCTTAGGAAAGGCTACATAATAAAATGTGAAATCCGAACAATGGATAGCTCAGTTAGGTTGGAATTAAGAGATGCAACTGGACACATGTGGTTAGATGCCTGAATATTCAATAAGTGATTTGCTAGTTTCACAAGACACACGCATACACATATGCACACACAAAACCTAAGTGGATACTTTGACTATGGCCTAGTTACATTGCACAAAGCAAGCATAATACATTAATGGTCTATTGGTTAAGCAAATGAGAGTAAATTCTTCTATGTTTAACACATTGTGCTTTTTCATGGAGGAGCTTTTGGAAAGAGATCCTGATGAAGTGTTTATGTTATTGTCCAACCCCCACTGCAGGTTACAAAGACAGGATTCTATCAAGGTTTTACCTTCCGGGCCTCAGCCTGTGCTTTCTGCCCCTCCTTTTCCTTCCTGTCTTTAGTCTCAGCAGAAGCCATTTCTAAGCAAAGACTTCTAGCCAGATAGCGCTATCCTGTACTACCTATTCCTGAAGGTGGGGTGGGCAATTATTCTGAGGGAGCTTTCCAGATCACACCTTGAATTAAAAAATGTTTGAAGACAGTTTGAACAGTTTCAGGGATATTTGGATATTAGGAATGATGTTGTTTTGTCTTCAGAGGGCAACTGGACTGCTCCCTTACTTCACAAAGGAGAGGGAGACAGCCTTGTGTAGTCCAAACTATAATCTTCATCATATTATTCTCAGAATATAAGAAAAAAGTAACTATGATAAATACAATAAGCTTTGAAGTCTGATTGAAGCCTCCGTTAGGAAGGGCTATGATTGTTAGTCCATTCATCAAGCTACTAAATTTACCCTTTTTCCATAGTTTAATTCTGGGAAGTAGACAAGAGTACTAAAAAATTCCATAAAAATACTGAACAGTGTGTGACATGACATGGATGTTTGCTGCAGGAATTATCCAGTTTCTTGGCCAGAAAATCTGGGGCTTGGCTTCCTGTAAAATTGGCTCACTGTATTTTGATAACACTGTGTCCTTATAGCAGCAGTACCTAGTGCAATGGGGGGGGGGCAGTTGAATCGTTTAATTCCCGGGCAGCTTAATTGTAAATCACTGCCCCCAACACCATGAATTCATGATTTGAGTAGTTTTAAAAAACAAAAACAGTGGCACATCTCCTCTAAACTCTGAAGGTAGCTGGCTTGGCTAAATACTTGAATCACTTCAACAACAACAAAAAAAATTGAGCAGAGAAATTCAGTAACAACACTGTAGAATAGGAAGGCTAAAAAATTATGATGTTCTAGATGGGAGAGGTGGCATATACTTCGAATCTAATCTCAGTGTTCAGAAGGTAAAGCCAAGACATCTGGAGGTAAATGTCATCTCCAGCATTCATGTAGCCAGTCAAGCCTGGACTACATTACCAAGGTATATCTAAAAAACAAGCCAAAGAAAATTTAAAAACTCATGGCAGAAGCTCCTCTCTCGGAGCTATATGATTTATTATGTTTCTTGTGTGGATTTAAGTAGAATAGCAAAAATAATTTCCCTCTCCAGTCAAGTGGAAACCTTTAAAGTTCATTTTGTTGATCTGTGATATAGAAATAAAATGAATAAGAAGAAAATATGACCTTTCTCACTTGCTCCACAAAACCCACATTAATTAACAAAGTCAGACAGGATGTACTCCATTTGAATCACATCTTAGGAAAACCTAACATAAAAACTTACAAAAGTTTCCTTTGTGAGAGACAGCCAAAAACTTCATTTAATTTATCCTGTACAATTGATATTGCCTTCAGTAGCTCTGTTGAAAATGGCTTATTTTGAAATTCTTGAGCATAGACTGTAAACTGTGGAACTATAGTGTTTTTTAAATGTGTACCTGAAACCCAGCCACCATAATTTATCCTGTTTGTTAAGGCTAAATGGTAGCTCTATACTGAAAAGTAAATCATTTAGGTGGAACAGAAACCTGCTGATGATAAGTTAAATATTTTCGTATAAATTTTCTTGTTGAAAAGTACTTAAGGAAAAAGCAATGTTTTAATCAGAAATTTCCTGCTTAACGTTATACTGTTTTATAGCTTATTGATTCTTCAATATGGCATTAAGTAAACTGTCAATTTACAAGTTATTTATATGAACATCTTCGGTACCTCAACTCATTCTCTTCCAAGTCTAATGGACCAACAGCATGCATACTAAACTATGTAATTGTATGTATAGGAACTTTAATTGTGGAGGTGAAAAATAACAACATAAAAGGAAGCACATTAATAAATTACTATGGAAAATGTACATATTAGTTTTCAATGGTTACTATTGGTATTACCTATGCCAATAATAATTTCTATTAATTGAAGTTAATAGAGAATCAGCACTCTAAAGTCATGAAACTGTGTTCTTTAGAAACTATGATAAGAACTCTATTGGCAACTTTATTGACTGGTGAGTTGATGCATTCCTTTCATCTTAATCTTGTTCACCCAAAGTCAGCTACAGTTGCAGTGTTCAGAGCAAGGACCTGGGAGGAAGGCTTATTTCTACAAGCTAAGTCTACTGGGGAGAAAAGCTAACTGCGACCTTTGGGAACATTTTGGAATTTCGAGTGTGAAAATGAACATCTATGTGCTAAAAACTGGTTGACTGACTCAGACACGAACAGAATCATTTTTCTTTAAGCTGTGACTTCACAACTCAACTGCTCTCCTTTTTCCTTTGTAGAGGATTGCCTTGCTCAGTGTGGCAAAGACTGCAGGTCTTACTGCTGCGATGGAAGTACCCCCTACTGTTGCTCCTACTATGCCTACATTGGGAACATTCTCTCGTGAGTAGCGCTCCAACTGGACAATGTTCTTCTTCCTTTGGTCAAGTTACTCGTTCAAGTAACACTAAGTGACAGGTGCAGACAGGAGAGTGAAGGTTGGTGCAGAAGATGGTGTCTCACACCTGTAATTCCAACATTGGGGAGCTAACCCAGAAGAACTGCCACGGGTTTGAAGCCAGCCTGCATAACATAGTTCCAGTCCAGTCTCGGCTTCGGTGTGTGATTTCATCACACACACACACACACACACACACACACACACACACACTTGTTATTGATTTAAAATCTTTACTAGAAGTTGAAACATGTGTTAATAACTTGTGTATACTCTTAGGTGACAGATGTGTAAATTAATAAAAAAAATCTTCTATTAGAAGGGAGTTTTAAAATGATCCTTTCACTGTTTCTCATGCTATTATAGTAATGAGCTAAGTAGTCTTATTATTGATAATGCTTTCATGATATGGTTTTGTCTCCTGTGTTGAAGGATGTATAAACTAACATTTGTTGTTTAATAATGGTCAACTTCTTTTACCAACCACGCCCTAATTGTCTAATACATCCACTAGTTAAGGAAAAGGAGAGGTTGTGAATAAATGAAACAATAGTAATAGGAAAACTTAGTTATTTCCATAATGTAAAAAGGACAACTCAGAGGAACAAATTTAGAACCTAAATGAAGGCAGGCATGAGTAATATATAATCATACCTCACACACATGAAAAGTACAGATGCTGAGTAGCTTCCTGTATTGGATTCAAAATATATTTTAGTGCCGCTACTGAGCAGAAGACAATGAAGGAAAAGCCTGCCTTTGGATTGAAAGGCTAGGAAATTATTTCATGAGTGTGAGCTTGCCATTCCTCTGCCCATAAAGTTGGTGGTGAAAAATAAAGAGTTGGCAACAGAGCCCTACCTGCAGTGAGACTCTCCTCTGGTTGGCTGTCAGCTATGAGCAGGTCCAGGTTCTCTCCTCTGCTGCTCTTCTTTTCCACGTGCACATGGAAGGATTGGGAGGAACTCTTCCATTCCCAAGTAGTTCAGCTTAGCTTCTGTCTTCCGAAGGCTCAAGAGGAAGCAGGAAGCATTAGGCTAGGTTCAGCAGGTCCAGCTTCTTGGGGAACATGCCCACTGAGATGATAGCAACAAAATCCTCTGTTTCTCAAAAGGGAAACCTGACACAGACACACTCTAGAATTCATGCTGGACCTGATATTAGAGATCTGTTTGACTATAGACCTCACTCCCCAAAAATCTGGTTTGGGGTATTATTAAAGACTGTTAGCTATGGAAGAAATCTAGGATGAAATTTTAAAAATGAAATATTTATTAATTTTCAGTACAAATCAAATATTCAATAAAATATAAACCAAGTCAAATTTCTGAATTTTTCCTTATGGAAGATTCATTGGGAAAGCAATTAACTGTCAATCAATAATTTTTTTCCAGAAATGGGGTAACTCAAACGTAAGTTGGTAACAATTTTTATGATTATAGATCTCGTCACAGAATATAAGATAATGTAAAGCTTCTGATTAATAAATTATGTGTATTATAATGAATGATTTCTGAATGCCATGAAGATATGTGAATGGAAACAGAGACGGCAGGAGTGAGCAAGTCTGAGATTCTTCTGTTCAGTGGCCCGAGGCCTTTATCTGTGCGCTCACTACTTTCTGATACACATTGTACCCAGTGTCCTAACTCTCCACTCCCTCTTAGACAGAAATAAATACCGTGGACTCAACGATTAGCCAAAATAGCTTAACATTTTTTAATTTAAAGATATGCTTTCTTTGGCTTAGATTTCAAAAGATGCAATTTACACCTCTTTCTGATCAACACATTTATCTGGGTTATTAGAACCATGAGCTTGTTCCACACAGAGAGGACAAAGAATTGTGTTTTAGAAGGGAAAAGTAAACACAGATGGCATTATATTTCAGGCAGTTAAAACTGAACTTTCTGTCAAAAATAGAAACTTCTTAGTAAATCTCTTGCTAAACAATACTTTGGGGGGGGGGAACCTTTAAAGTGTTTTTCCCAGTAGAAGAAGGAGGATACATTTTCAGGATTTCCAGTCATTGTTTTACATTTGAAAAGAGTTCTCAACTCCACCCAAGCTTTCTTCTGTTATTTTGTAGTGGAGGAATGGGAGGGGGGAGTCAATTCTAAGAATGCTCACAAGAGTTCTTTCATGCACAGATTTCCCAATATTTCTGGTTTGGAATTCAAAAACTACACTTCCTCTCTTTTAAGCATCTGGGTACATTTGGTTAAATAATTTGGACCGTCTTAACAGAAAGTTAAACTTTATGTTAGCAGAAAAGTAGGAAAGAAGAAAACAATTGAGATAATAGAATATATCTTGAATACTTTTATAAATTGATTCTGCCTCATGGTTTATTTTCAAAATAAAGATGTTGGCTTAGTTTTAAATGAACTTTAAAAGCAATGAGGAAGAACTTGGAAGTTAACTTAGGGCATTCTGTAATGTCTATAAACAGGTTAAGGGAGCTCTGTGGGGCCTTCTTCCTGGGGCTCCCTCTGCCACTGCAGCATCACAGGTGAGGGGAGAGAAACTCATTCCTTTTTTCAAAAACTTGTGCTGTGTGTGAGAGAGAGAGAAGGGGGGGGGCGAGAGAGAGAGTATGTAGTGAGATGTTTAGAGAAACCTTCACAAATAGGAGTTGATAAGAGATTTGAAGGAAGGGTAGCATGTTTACACAATGGACAGTGGAGGAAGGGAAATGCCTTCCAGACACAGAGACTCCTCACATACAGCCAAAGATAGAAGCAAGGAAATGATCTCTTGTTCAAAGTTGCTGGGGCAGGGGCTGGGGGGTGGGTGAGAGTTTATCTTGGATTCAAAGCTAGAAAAATGTGGGTCCAATAAAAGATGAATTCTTATTAATAGACTCCTATTGGCTATGTCTCCTCAAATTAAGATGAAATAATTCCATATTCCACAGTAAAAGTATACATCTGACTTTATGTAGTGTGGACAGAGTCTTAGATAGCACTAAGAATGCAAAGAGCAAGATAATCTCCATCATCCCTAAATGAAGATAAATATAAGAGTACTCCATTGATGAAAGATCAGAATGTATACTTTGAGGCTGGGCAGTATGTGGGACACTTTGGATAAACTACATGATAATTTTTCTATATTTAAGATATTTCTGATAATATAAGCAACCACTTGAAGTTTAAAAGGCTCTCTATGCTTTAAAAATACTGAAAATTTGGTTTAATTTGAGAAATAAGGAGTTTCCCATCAGATTTATTCACACAAATTATTCAGCAGCTCTCCTACAGAGAAGGCGGGGCAGACACCATGATGGATAGGCAAAGAGGTGAAGAGGTGAGAGCACTCAGGCTGCTGATCAAACCCAGCTGGCATTCCCTAGAAGTGAGTCCAGGGCAAAGCTGTGGTTTGTAGAGTGGCAGAATCTAAGAGAACACGGGAGGGGCGAGAACACAGTCACTATTTACTGTGATCCACGGTAGCAAACTAAAAATTTGTTACTGAAAATAACCACACCCTGCCATGCCAGAAAATTATTGTACAATCTTAAATGTGTACAATCTTAAATGTGAGCCAGACTGTTGGGAGGCAGTGTGAGCCAACCATCAGATGTAGGACTTAAATCTCTAACTCAAAAATAGGAATTTGCTTTGTCAGTCTGCAACTGTAAGACCAGTCCCAAACACATCATCTAATAGCAATAATAATAATAATAATAATAATAATAATAATAACAATAACAATAATTTCTCACAGAAAGAACTAATAATGGAGATCCTGGTAGGATTCGGTTTCTTTTCTTCTCAATGAGATGTGAAATATGTATTACCCACAGTTTTACAAAGACAGCCAATAAATGCCACGACTGTGGTTTTAGAGCCATGCTATGCATGAGCGCAAGAGGAAGTTAACAGATAAAGGTTTTACATTTTCAAATGGCATTTGTGGTCCTGCGATCACTAAGTAGTTGAGGGTGTTAATTAAACTCAGGAGACTTGTGCATCTGTTAAGAACAGATGAAAAAATGAAATAAAATGATCTTAGTTTCAGAAATGAGAAAAATAACTCTGAAAAGCACTGAGCAAATCAAAGTTTCTGAGAGTTCTAGTTTGTTTTCTGTTACTGTGATTAACCTCAGAATCAAAGCACAATTGCGGAGGAAAGGGTTGATTTGGCTTACACAGTCTGTCATAGAGGGAAGTGAAGACAGGAATCTGGAGGCAGGTAGTGCAACAGAGACTGTAAATGAATGGCTTTGCTGCCCGTCGCTTGTTCAGCTTGCCCTTTATACAACCCCACAACACCAGTCCAGAAGTGGCACCATTCCCAGTGGGCTTGACCTTCCCACATCAAGCACTGATCTATAAAATGCCCTACAGTGGTGCCTATGGCATCACTCTGTTGGGGGCAATTCTTCAGTTAAAGCTCCCTTTTTCTAGGTGACGCTACTTTTTGTTGAGTTGATAAAAAAAAATACTAATGAAGACAGTGAAAGTCTTCATTTTTGTTTTAATAATAACACCATGGTGAACAACAACAACAAAAGATAATGTTAAAATAAGATGAACCTGATTGAAAATATAACAATATAAAAAAAGGTAGATTTCTTCCAGAGAACATGATCATATGTTTGGGATTATTTTATTAACAGGAAATGTGAATGCGTTAATAAATGAAACTTTTCAGTCAAATTTATTATTTACTCAAGTTGCCTTTGTATATGAAATCCACTTATCATAAACATAATTTACTTTAAGAAAAAATAAGTGGGGTTTCAAGGACACAGTGCCAATAAATTATTTCTACAAATGCACTCCCAGCTACCAGTGACCTGCACTATGCTCTGGGATGAAGGTCTGGCAGAACCAAAGAAAAGCAGGCTTCACTTTGACTTGAGGGTGCCCTGAAGGCTTCTTGAAGAGGAGTTATTGTGAAATAAACCTCAAGAGTTGGGAGTGTTGCCCAGCTGCCT